GGCGAACGTTAGCGCGAGCAAAGGGAGCCGGGAACCAACTTAACCTCGCTTTAGCTCGGAAATAGGATACCATAGGAAGGACACTCGTTTCGTATAATTCGTATGTAATGAGACCTCGTGTAGTATCCTCTATGTATTAACCACGTCACAGAATACATTACCATAATATGTTATGAAAATAGAATATACCAACACAATATATATGCAACGTGGTCGGACAATCTCGTAACAAAGTGCTTACTTCCTGCGATTCCGTATATTTTATGACCGCTGCACGCTCTTCCCTCATCTCCAACAAGTGATGGACGTGTGCGATATGGTATCTATCTATATATCGATAAACACTAATGGAACTACTAAAATACATTGTAATAACTATAAACTTCTGCAAAAATTCGATCGTGAAAATATCTGCTCCGACATATTGGACGATGCATGCAGGAGACATTGTAGACTAACAACTAGTCTCTGAAATGGACATTTTTTACAGAAAAAAATGAAATATAATGAAAAGGAGCCCTGACACTTTCTTCACTTTCAGAAATGTGGAAATCTAGAGTTGCCACATATTCTAGACTTGCATGGGCTTTCTCCGATATATTTTTTTCAGGGTCTGTACGACAGACCAGACACATTGATGTCATACAGTTGATTAACTTGCGTATGGTGACCCAGGTATTGACCAACATTTATCCTGAAGACCATTTCTGGTGTCCCCCGCCGTGATGTTGCTGAAATATTGCTAAAAGCGGTGTAAAACCAAACTCAGTCAGTCAGTCCTCCTGAAGAGGCATCCCTTGCTGGGCCGCGTTGACGGATGCTGGTTTTCTGGCTAGACTAACACTTACAGGGGCGGATCCGGGGGTGCGCACCCCTTCTGGATCCGCCCCTGACTTACTCTCTGATTATAAACAGTTTTCTATAGAAACAAACAATTCCTTTTAAACTGAAAATGAGCCCGAGCGATAAAGGCATACATGTATTTAGAACCTGAACCAGAGGAAATATGGACTTGAAGAAAATAATGCTGTTCAGGGACTGTTGGGCAGACCAGGTCTTAGATGAATTGCATTACTGATTGTGAGTTTCCCTGTTGGTCCCATCTAACATAGATACCGTACTTAATTTGTTTCAGATATGAAGTTGAGAGAATTTGCCCTAAATGTATGACATACTCTGTAAAACAAAAACGTTTTTTTAAATATATACATTGAAATATCATTTCGTCTCAAATTTAAAAACAACAACTAAAAAACAAATCCAGACCTTTGGCAGAAAATAAACTGACAATCATAAAAAAGACATGTATATCCAATTTTAGTTTTGAAATATAAATAAATACAAGGAACTTAGTTAAACACCCCTTGACATATCTCACGATTGAATGAGCCCCGATCTTAACCCTTTGGAGCATATCTGGGACGTTATTGGTCGTCTCGTGCAACAAAGGGACCCTCCTGTACAAAACCTGGCCAAATTGGAAGCTGCTTTACACGAGGAATGGCGTAGACTGGTCCTTCAGAGGATCAGGAGGCGGACAGGGGGTATGAGTAGGAGAGTGTTGGTTGCCATCCTGCCACATGGAGGTTACACACGGTTTTGACACTGAATCGTGTAAGACACGCAAAATGACATTTTGAATGTTTCATATTCACCAATAAATCCAACATTAAACATTCAAGGGCCATACTTGTACAGACATGTTTTTGAATGGAAATCAGTGTGTGTTTTTTAAAAAATGAGCAATTATCATCATAAAATCAACATGGATTCCAATCATTTTGTCGTTTTTTATGTGTCAAAGGATCATATGGGTCAGAAAAACTCATGTTTTTCCATCGTGGTCACCATGAGAAATTTTATGTACGTCATTATCATTGCAAAAATACAGTGGGTGTTTTGTGTATACTGACTGAGTTTGGTTTTACGCCGCTTTTAGCAATATTCCAGCAACATCACGGCTGGGGACACCAGAAATGGGCTTCACACATTGTGCCCTTGTGGGGATTCGAACCCGGGTCTTCGGCGTGACGAGCCAACGCTTTAACCATTAGGCTACCCCACCGCCCCCTGTTTTGTGTATAGTTCAGGGAGGGTCAGATAGGTGATTGTATTGTTTGACCTAAAGTAGCAAATGGAAATGTGTTGTAAGTTGCTGTTAGGGCGATACTTTGTGTGAAATATGACGATGTGGAGACGATTTCAATGATCAACACTGGTAACGTCCTATGCCGCCCACTTCGACAGCACTTTATCAGGGTCTACAGACCATTCGGAAGAATTGCGTTCGCGTTCACGGGACAATTAGGTTTTCGACGTTTACTTTGGGCATGTCAACTTCAATGTTGGCAATACAACGTGCAGTTTATGTCTGGGGAGAGAATGACCCAACTGTACAAAGCCGACGGGATAAAGAACACCTCCTTGTATACAACCACTGCGCCATTTGGCGGTGGAAGTGAGTTGGCTTGAGGTGGGATCAGAAGTTGTGACACAACTAGTTCCCAATGATGGAAATATTAGTGTCTAAAGCCACACCTTCGTCTGAGGAATGGAGAGCAAAACCCGATGAAACCATTAGATACCTAACTAACTGTGGGGCGCTGTCGTGGGCACCTCTGTACGCTTACACGTAGATGCGTTTCGCATTATTGATGCGATTGCATTCCTTTATCGACAATAATCACCATGTTAACCCCTGCGTGTGGGGCGTGGAATCACCATTTTCTCCCTAGAGCTGTTTGGGATCTGTGATGTTGACGCTGGATGGCCAATAGTTTTATAGTGAGTGAGTGAGTTTCCAGCAATATCACGGCGGGGGACACCAGAAATGGGCTTCACACGTTTGTACCCATGTGGGGAATCGAACCCGGGTCTTCGGCGTGACGAGCGAACGCTTTAACCACTAGGCTACCGCACCGCCCCATAGTTTTATAGAGTTGATTTGACGTCAAGTTATGATATTTTCTTGATAAAACATTTACATCAACATGTATCGTGTTTTATATCTTTTTGATAAATTGATCCGTATGCTTTCTTGTGGTCATCAGTTTACTTCTAAGTCTTGAAACAGCGTTCGTAAACCCAAACAAGAATATAAACAATGACCACTTTCTTATGTGCGACAATACTGGTATAATAACAGATACATATACACATGTACACACAACCGTGAATATACCACACACAACCGTGAAGATACCACTCACAACCGATCTTAGCAGTCTGTGTTTGTCGTCCCCTGAAAGGGTATTGTAAGTCCATATCATGCATGGTGATCTGCCCTCAGCTTACGGCGATTCAGTTTTGTCTTGAATAGTTATATAATCTTACTGGCAAACAAGGATAAGTTGGACCGGCGCAGAGAACGCGTTTACGAGAAGTAGGCGGTGCACGGCATTGTGAAAGGTAGAGCAGATGTGGGCTAGTGCACGTGCATTGCATGACGATGAAATTGATTCCGCGCGTAGCTGCACACGCCTTGCTCATAAGACTCACATCCTGCAGCAAGTCGCACTCCACCTGATCGCGGACAACATGGGGCCCCTTCGGTAACAATGGTAAGCGCCAGTGGGCGGCACTCGTACGTGCTAATACGGGTCAATTGTCAGGTCGGTGCTCAACTTATCCTTGTTTGCCAGTAAGATACATTTGCTCTTTTTTAGATCTATATCTGTGATATCCTAGTTGTTGTACTGTCCTTTTTTCCTCCTGTTTATAATCAATTAGTTTTATACTTATTTTTCATAATCTATGCTCATAGTATGACTTGTTTTAGTCACGATATGGCTGAAATATTGCCGATGTGACTATAATTCTTAACCCACTCAAGCTTGTCCGTAGAGGCAACTATAGGGATAGGTTGTCAGGCTCTGTTGATGCATGTCATCGTGTTCCAACTGCGTATATTGCCGATGTGACGTTAAATATTAACTCACTCACTCACTCCAACTGCGTAAATCGATGCTCATGATACCAATCACTGAATTATCTGGTCCAGATTCGGTTATTTACAGACCGCCGTCATTCCGCTAGGATACTGCAGTGCGGGGTCAAATAGACAAAGAGTAAAAATACGTAATTATACAATGTCATTTAGGAAGTGGTCAAACGCAATATAAGTCATATTTGGGATATATATCTCAGTAAAGTACACATTCTTGTACTTTTAGGATTGAGTCCCACCCGGCAATCGAACCCAAACTGTCAGGCACCTAATCGCCAGCACATAAAGACGGCGGTTTAACCCACTCAGCCATCGCTTTCTAAAAACACTAGAATCTGTACTGAGAAAGTATAATGCCAAATATAACATATGTTAGAAAACACGTACACAAATACTGTCCTGTATGTGAAAGGGAGAGTATGCTGTTAATGAAAACTGTGCCGCATGGACGCAAGATATAAGATTCACACTATGTGCACATGTTGTGAAAAGAATTCAGGTGCTTTGTGGAAGGAATCAAAGTTTGAAGCACTGGTCTTTTTGTGAACTTGAGTGAATAAAGCAGCAAGTCGAGATTGTAGGCCCACTATGTCCGAACAGGAGTTCTCTTCTGAGAATGAGGACGGTTACAATATGAGGTAGTAGAGGTGGGTTACCGCCGACGCTGTCGTTCACCTTGTCCACTGTTGCTGAACACAAACACTATTATCATATAATATATTGAACTGGTTTATCCTACCGTCGACGCTGTTGCAAAGTGGTTGCTGTTGATGAAGACGGCAGATGGTATAGTATGGCATGAGATGGCATATCTTGGGTTACCGTCGACGCTGTCGTTCAGTTACTGCTCTGTGACCACTGCTGCTGAACAAAACGTCTTTTATTACATAATATCATAAGGTGGTATGTTCTTGGGCTACCGTCGAAGCGGTCGTTCTCTTTTTGCACGGCACCATTGCTGAACACAAAATAGAAGTAGGCCCTGAAGTACCGTCGATGCTGTCGTTCATTTACGGCATTGTAGTCACAACGTCAGATGTGGCATGTCCTTGGCTACCGCCAACGCTGTCTTTGAGTTCATGCACTTTCACCTCCATTGCTGAAGACAATGTTAACGTAGGCCCTGAAGTACCGTCGACGCTGTCGTTCATTTACGGCATTGTAGTCACCTTTGATGAAGACAACGTCAGATGTGGCATGTCCTTGGCTACAGCCAACGCTGTCTTTGAGTTCATGCACTGTCACCTGCATTGCAGAAGACAATGTTAACGTAGGCCCTGAAGTACCGTCGACTCTGTCGTTCATTTACGGCATTGTAGTCACCTTTGCTGCAAACAACGTCAGATGTGGCATGTCCTTGGCTACCGCCAACGCCGTCGTTCACTTACTGCACTGTTGCTACCGTTGCGACCCTCGCTTGATTTTTGGGTACGAACCTGATCAGCTTAAAGAACGCCTCTCTGAAGCGCTTGTGTAGCAATGGATATAGGATGGGATTAATGGTTGAGTTAATCCACAGCATCCAGAAAGTGAACTCGAAGAAGACAGGATGGATGCAGTCTGGGCAGACGCTGGAGATGAGCGCACACACCTCGTAAGGCATCCAACATACGCCAAAGACCAGCACAAGGATGAATAGCGAGCGTGCTGCCTTCTTGTCCTTGGCCAGGGACGGTTTTGCTGGCCCCGTCTGCGAATCCTGTGTTGCGGCATCTCCCTGAACCTTCACAGGCTCGACTTTGCGCTGTCCAAAAATGCCCTTGGAGCGTTTACGGATGAGGAGGAAGATGAGGATGTTGAAGGTCATGACGACAGTGAAAGGCAGGATGAACTCGATCATAGAGGCGAAAATGGCGTACTCAAAGTTGTAGTAGTATGGCACGAAACAAACTTTGTGGGGAATGGTGTCCAGCCCAGTCCACATCTCCCAGAACAGTATGGAAGGCAGGTACGTCAGCCCTGAAATAATCCATGGGATCAACATCATGATTATCCGCAGATTCGTGGTTTGCTTGTTTCTGTACTTGAATGGAAAAGCTACCTGTAGGTACCGGTCGATGCTGATGATGCAGATGTTGATGGTGGAGGAGGCAGGGCATATGTAGTCAAAGAGGAGCCAGATCTTGCAGAAGGCCCTGCCTGGCTCCCATACTCCGGTCAGCAGATAGGGAATGTAAGGTGGGATGCAAATACAACCAATGAAGAAGTCCGCCACAGCCAGGTTCAGGATGAAGTAGTCGGAGAACCGCCTCAAGGAGCTGTTTGTGGCAAAGGCAAGGAACACCAGGATATGCTCGGTCGTTGTCAGGACAGCCATGAAGCTCGTGAACGTTGCTATGGTGATTGCAGAGGGTGTTGGGAACAGGAACGGTCCCGTGGAGTCTGTGCTGTTCGACATCGTGGTATCTGAAACGTGAAACCATTGCTTCATGTTCAAATTGTTTCAAACAAACTCAGAGGCCATTCACCAAGGGGCGGTGGGGTAGCCTAGTGGTTAAACCGTTCGCTCGTCACGCCAAAGATCCGGGTTCGATTCCCAGCATGGGTACAATGTATGAAGCCCATTTCCGGTGTTCCCCGTCGTGATATTGCTGAAATATTGCTAAAGGCGGCGTAAAATCCAACTCACTCACTCACCATTCACCAATGGTTCAAAACATTTACAAAGAGCATGCGTGCTCTTCCAAGGAAACGCTCATCTATTCCGGGGTTGGAGTGAGTGAGTTTAATCTACGCCGCTTTTACTAATATGCCAGCAATGGGCTTCACACATTGTACCCATGTGGATAATCGAACCCGAGTCTTCGACGTGACGATCGAACGCTTTAACCTCTGGGCTACCCCACCGCCCCTGTAATCTTGATGAGGACGAAACCCGAAGTGATGTTCCTTGAATAATGGTGAAATTGAATGAGCGTGGCGCTAACTCACATGGCGTCTTACCTGATGTGTGTGTGTGTGTGTGTGTGTGTGTGTGTGTGTGTGTGTGTGTGTGTGTGTGTGTGTGTGTGTGTGTGTGTGTGTGTGTGTGTGTGTGTGTGTGTGTGTGTGTGTGTGTGTGTGTGTGTGGCCTAGTGGTTAAAGCGTTGGATCGTCACACCGAAGACCCGGGTTCGAATCCCCACATGGGTACAATGTGTGAAGCCCATTTCTGGTGTCCCCCGCCGTGATGTTGCTGGAATATTGCTAAAAGCGGCGTAAAACCAAACTCAGTCAGTCAGTCAGTCTTACCTGATGTCTACAGTGTTAAATAACTCTGGTCTAATATTCTATACTTCTTATTTGTTCTTTGTTCAACGCCGCACTTAGCACTATTCCAGCTATAAGGTTTCGGTTTGGACCAGACAATCCGGTGATCGATTGGCATGAGCATCGATTGGGATACGATGACATGTGTCAACCAAGTCAGCAAGCCTGACCACCTGATCCCGTTAGTTGCCTCCTATGGCATACATGGATTGCTGTAGACCAATTCTAACCAGGATCTTCACTGGTATTATACTTCTTCTTCTATCTTATAACGACCAGATTAATAGTGTAAGCATGACAAAGCAAACGCTCGCTACCCCATGTAAATCCGAAAGGGGTTTAATATTATCAACATGGAGTCTGATGAAGTATTACTTTGAATTACTTCGCCTCCACTGGCAAAACAAGGTTAAACATTAAATTAAATGTACCAGCGGGATGTATGAATCCAATTTTGGTTTTAGCAATGTCATGACAGCAAATGCCCTTTTTAATAAAACGGAGGACCATGTGAAAGAAAAATCTAATTAACTAGTCTTGTTCCCAGTAATGACATATATGTGTAATTAACTCAGAGATAATGAATGCACTTTCAACTAAGTTTAATATTCATACACCTCATGTGGGCGTTTGAATTATATATTTTGCAAAAGAGCGCACAAAGTCTTTTTTCTAATTTTCTTCTTTTCAGATCATTGACCTATACTTTTCTTCTTTTCAGATCATTGACCTATTCTTTTCTTCTTTTCAGATCATTGACCTATACTTTTCTTCTTTTCAGATCATTGACCTATACTTTTCTTCTTTTCAGATCAATGACCTATACTTTTCTTCTTTTCAGATCAATGACATATACTTTTCTTCTTTTCAGATCATTGACCTATACTTTTCTTCTTTTCAGATCATTGACCTATACTTTTCTTCTTTTCAGGTCATTAAACCTTTGGTATCACTATTCACAAACAGCAACATAGAAAATGATGGAAACGTTCCGAGCCCGACTATGTATAAAGTATAATGCCTACATTACCATGAATTTGGACCTAAAACAGAACCTAGCAGAACACACGCGCGAGTACGGGTGATTAGTGTTTTGATCGGTGGTCCTATACAAGGTGCTGGAAACCTGATTCAGACAATTCAAAAATACAAACCGAAATCCCGGGGAAAAGAATTTTAAAAAAGACGTTGTTGTCTTTGTTGATTTCAACATTAAACTGTCAGTCAATACATTGGAGTGACGTTACGTGTTTGAAATATTTTTGTTTAGATAATTGCAGATGCACACTATCAATAGTGCTTGCAAGGCCATCTGAAGTTATTGATTAGGGTCACCGTTGGCAAGGTGGGCGTTGTCAAAGTTGACGTATCAATAAATACAAGTAAACTGTCATGGCGAAGCCAAGTTAATGACGCCTAATCATATGTTTTGTCCTTGCAAACATGTGCAACTGAATGGGGAACAAAGTGGCTTTCAAATAAGGATCTCTGATTTTGATGGATGTAGAAGAGTCAAAGTTTGCTTGAAGTAAACCGATCCGTAATTCTCGCTGTGATTGTTCGGTATAATCGCCACTAATTAAGGAAACATTGATCGTTTTGACAAGGTGAATGCCCCAGTTGTTTTGTGGATAGAATGTTTGGTTTATATTGTTAAACGCCGCACTCAGCATTATTCCAGCTATATGCGGTCTGTAAATAATCCAGTCTGGACCTGTCTCCAGACAGAGAGATTGAGAGTTTGAGATTTACGCCGATTTTAGTAGTTGTTGTAGGTTATAGTCCAAACTCGGAACCAATCCCTTACGCTCCCGACACAGAGAACTCCCTGTAATAGGCTCCACGTATGGTACTTATATGGGGAATCGAATCTGGACTTCGGCGTGACGGGCGAACGCTTTACCCTCTATGCCATCTCACGGCCCCTCCACTATGAGAAGCTCGATTACAAGGTATGTTGTGTTGCTGTTCCACTCGACGTGGAGATATACTGTCCTCTACGCCCCGTGGAATTCCTGGGCACGATGAGGGATTGAGTATAGTTTTACGCCGCTTTTAGCAATAATCCAGCAGTACCACGACGGGGGAAACCATAAATGGGCTTCACACATTGTACCCATTTGGGGCATCGAACCCGGGTCTTCGGCTTTGCGAGCAAATGCTTTAACCACTAGGCTACCCCACCGCCCCCTGCGCACGTTGAGCACCCTCGGTATCAACAGCGTTCCCAGAAGGCGTTGCTCATGCTCTCACACGCAGGTTTGCAAGATACGTACAAAACTAGGAAAATTGCATCGGCAATCAACAGTTCACTTTGATTTCGACCGCCTCTGTGGTGTAGTGGTTAGAGCGTCCGCCCGGAGAGCGAAAGGTCGCGGGTTCGATCCCCGACCGCGTCATACCAAAAGACGTTAAAATATGGTACTTGTTGGTCCCTGCCTGGCGCTCGGCATTAATGGGTACAACAAGGACTGGTCGGCTCGGAGTCAGTATAATGTGTCTGAGTGGGGTATTCCTGCTTCACTGCGGCATGGTATCTCAGTGGGCTAGCACTATAAAACCAGCTTAAGTCTGGGCTAGTACAAGCAGCCGCACATACGCACGCGTGCACGTCGTCATATGAGCGAAATATTCTCAAGTACGACGTTAAACCCAATTTCACCTCACCTCACCTCACTTTGATTTCAGATACAATCATGTCACTCACTGTCACTGTCTGCAGTTGTGCAGAAAACAGTCATGGGGTTTCTACAAATTACTGCGTATGTGATCCGTGCAAGCTGTTTAGTCGAAATACAAAGTTGATGAATGACAAATACAAAATGAAAAAATATCCAATAGAAAACACATGGAACACCGATGTGCTTGCTCTGTAACTGTCATGAACATAAGAAAGCTGACCCTAACTGTTCTAGCTTTGAGACCATTGAACATAGGGAAGTTGACACTTCAAACACAACTTATCAGCTTTGAGACTACTGAGCATAATACATTTGACATATAAAACAACTGTACTAGCTCAATAAGTGTACTGAATATTCTAAGATGCTTCCCTAAACGATCATTTGCGCAGATAGTATTTCATCCTGTGATATTTGAAGTTACACGCTATCAGAATCACAGGGGATATTTTCGTTACGCGATAATAAACTGACTTCAAATTGCACAGATACAGATTTAGGCAAAATACCTACTCAGTACTTTAAATATCTGTTTCCGTGTATTAGCTCAGCCCCACAATACACATGTAGAATTTTCAAGTCGCATGAATAAAACTGAAGCAAGTTAATATTACAAATTAAATTTCAATCCTACATATTAAGCCATGGGATTATGGATAACCAGGCCCAGAACGTTTAATGAAATATGACCTTTTCTACTGATACAATATCCAGTTTAGTGGTGATGTATAACGTTTAAACATATACATGTCTCTTTACGTGAGGGTACATATAGCACTGTTGAAGAATTTTCAGTTTACGTCACATGTCGTGGCAGATTTGATGTTAACTATTCCAGTAATTTAGGTTTGTCTTAAATTTAGCATCTTGGAAAATATAATTACTTATTTGTAAATAACGAAGTGAAGATGGAAATAGAATAACTTGTCTGGGCGGTTGTACTGAACATGATAAAGGTGACACTTGGGATATAACTGCAGAATCCGTTAATTACAAAGAATTTTATCACGCTGAAAATTGAAAAACAAATGCACCATCTCTTAGAATTGTAATGCAGACAGTTTACCTATCTTTGTCTCACCTTTAAACGTCGCCGGAGTCGCCGTGTTGAACTTCTGAAGCTTGTATACCGACCGTCAAGTCACATCACACCGACCACATGAAGCTTTCGCATCTTACATCTCCGTCGACGACGTTAACGTGACGTCAGCCTGCCAATGCGGGTCCCTCCTCCTAAGGCGGGACATCGACCAAGCCTTAATGATGCACAACACAAGCAGCTAATTTCATCGCTAGAGATCGTACACACAGAGGAAACAGTTGGAGCTAATCTTGATTCATTAACGTGCCAGCTTGTGTGTTATAGACAGAGCAGTAGACGATGTAGTCGATGACGTCCCAGAAAGTACAGCCACAATCTGAAGCAGAACACAAGGTTTTCCGGTAACGCATCTAAATGGTTATTATTTTCATAATTATGAAATCTCTTCAATCCAATACTAGTATCTAATATCGTCATGGACTCACGTGTGTATGCTAATGTGTCGTGGAATCCCCACTCTGGAAACATCCACCGCTAGACCTTACAGCACTGAACATTGTCTTTGTGGGATTGACGCCGCACCGAATAGTAAAACAGTATTAAACTCACAATGTTTTTCCATAAGGTAGGCATTGAGACAGCAGAAGGTTCCCTACAAGATAGTGTCAGCCCGTTATATCGTAGGCGTGGAGGCAATAAAAAGTTTGCTCCACCACGATGTCCACCCCTTGGAGCGTAGGCATGTTCACAATACAGAGTTCCAAACTTAACAAACAATGTCCACTCATTAGAGCGTAGGCATGGAGGCAATACAAAGTCCCCTACAAATCACTGATTATTTTAGACATGTCTGTGCTGGTTTGACGCCCCAAGCAATAGTAACACAGAATTAAACTCACCAGTACAACAATGTTATATTTCCATTAGAAATAGGCATTGAGATAACAGAAAGTTCACTACGTGACAACATAGGCATGTAAACAACAGAAATTCCCTAAAAGACAATGTCTACAGTTAGAGCGTAGGTATGACGACAATAGAAAGTTCCCTACACGACAATGTCTACAGTTAGAGCGTAGGCATGACGACAATAGAAAGTTCCCAACATGACAATGTCTACCCGTTAGAGCGTAGGCATGACGACAATAGAAAGTTCCCTACACGACAATGTCTACAGTTAGAGCGTAGGCATGAAGACAATAAAATGTTCCCTACACGACGATGTCTACCCGTTAGAGCGTAGGCATGAAGAGAATAGAAAGTTCCCTACACGACAATGTGCACTCTTTAGAGCGTAGGCATGAAGAGAATAGAAAGTTCCCTACACGACGATGTCCACACTTTGAAGCGTAGGCATGAAGAGAATAGAAAGTTCCCCACACGACGATGTCCACTCTTTGGAGCGCGGAGAATGCAACAGAAAGCTCTGAACACGACAACGTCTACCTTCAGAACATAGGCATGAAGAATGAAGTTCTCTACACGACCTCAAATCACCGAGCATTGTGGAGATATCTGTACGGGTTTGCAGCAAATGGTAAGACAGAATTAAATTCACATGCTCAGCATTGGTATTTACCCATTAGAAGGCAGGCACTGAGACAGCAGAAAGTTCCCCATGTAACGATATCCATTCTCTTGGCATGGAGACACACAAAGTTCCAAACACGACAACGCCTACCTTTAGAACATCGGCATGGAGACTACAGAACATTCCCTACACGACAATCTCAACCTGTTAGAACGTAGGCATGAAGACAATAGAAAGTTCCCTGCACGACAATGTCCACCAATTAGAACGTCGGCATGGAGGCAATACAAAGTTCCCTGCACGGCAGTGCCCATTAGAACGTAGGCATGACAATATAATGTTCCATACACGACAATATCCACCAATTAGAACGTAGGCATGGAGACAATACAACGTTTTCTACACGACTTTAATTACCGAGCATTGTAGACATGTCCGTCCGAGTTTAACGCCGCAATGAATAAAAGACAGCATTAAACTCACGTGCACAGCATTAGAAGGTAGGCATTGAGACAGCAGAAGGTCTCCTACACGACAATGCCCACCCGGTAGAGGGTTGGGATGGAAAGTTCCTACTCGACGATGCCCACTCTTTGGAGCGTAGGCATGGAGACAATACAAATTTCCCTACACGAAAATATTGCTATTCGTGAACAAATGCACAAACAAAACCAACATGACGTCTAGATACCTGCAGCGTATGTTAAGGAACCAGGTAGTATGAAAATCAATTCATTTTGTCGATGATTTACCTTTGAAGGGTATTGATTATTTTTTTAAATAATTGTTCCAAAACAACCTGCAGCGCAGCTTTAACCTTACAATGGAATGGTTATTGAGGTATAATGTACGCGGTTGAGTGATATTTCAATCAATTTAACAACTGCTTGTTTGTTCCAACCGTTTAATTTTCAATATGTATTAACGCCGTACTTGCATACCCTTATACTAAGAGCATTGCCAGGTTGTCTGGCCTTTGCATTTTCTCGAAATCATGGTATTTGTATAATGTTTGAAGTATAAAGTAGATTTGCTTTTGGTTTACGGAAATTAGTGCTAAAGAGTAGGTCGGTAGTCCAAAATCATTTACAGTTAAAATTTTAATTTAAAATGGTTGTTTTGATTTCTTCAAAATATAAACAGGGGACGACACTTAATAACGTGGGCGAGAAATTTAGGCATAGATATACAACGCTATTTGATTACAGAAAAAAAATCTTCATGATGAAAGGGAGAATACATAATCATTTAACTTATTTCCTGTCGTCGGAATAACTCCCCTACTAAATTTAATTGTCTGTCCCTTTTTATTTTACTGATTCGTAAACATGTTTTTGAAAGACTTGCTTTAGTATGTCCCTCCATGGGGTTGAAGGAAGTAATACCTTGAAAACATTCATTAAACGATCCATTTTGACTCATTACAAAGGCATATTAGTGTAAAAATAAATTCGACCCATGGTTCCTAATTATTACAACGCTTTGACTCAGTCATGAGGGAATTCACGCGGAGGATATTTAACTAATGGACATGGCTATAATATAAAACATTGATGAAATATGCATTCTGTGTTTCTTCTGTTACCATCGGTGAGTATGGTTTTACACCGCTTTTAGCAATATTCCATCAAAATGACGGCGGGCGACACCAGAAGTGGATTTCACACATTGGTCCTATGTGGGGAATCGAACTCGGGTCTTTTGCTTGTCGAGCAAACGCTTTAACCACTAGGCTATCCCACAGCTTCGTTAACATAGAGAGACCCCTCAGTTCACAGTTACATATACATGTAAAATCATCTAATTAGAGAAGCAGTTATTGAAAAAAGCGTGCTTCAGAGAATGAGTTATTCATATATATTTTACAATTTCGATAAAATATATCTGTAAAATACATTTTTCGATAATGACGTCAGGACTAAAAATATTTCCTGACATCGAATGCTCAATAACACCTGAAAATTTGAATATACTTGGTAAATAGTCCTTTTTTGTGTGTTTTGTCATTCAGTGTGTGAGTGATGTTTCCAGAATGATATGATTCAAGATCGCTAAAACGGATAATTAACCCGACACCATACCCCTCTGTCAAAAGCTGAAAAATAACGCCGTAGGCGGTCTCCTAGGATACTTTTTTCTAATTACCGTGGAGGAATCTTATATATTCTCGGTACAAGTTAATATCGGATTTCTGTATTTTAGGTGAGGTGAGGTGAAATTGGGTTTAACGTCGTGCTTGAGAATATTTTGCTCATATGACAACGTGTGTGTGTATGGGCGGCTGCTTGTACTAGTCCAGGTGGTTTTAAGCTGGTTTTATAGTGCTAGCCCGCTGAGATACCATGCCACAGTGAAGCATGAATACCCCACTCAGACACATTATACTGACTGAGCCGACCAGCCCCACCATTAATGCCGAGGGCCAGGCAGGGACCAACAAGTACCATATTTTAACGTCTTTTGGTATGACGCGGCCGGGGATCGAACCCACCACCTTCCGCTCTCCGGGCGGACGCTCTAACCACTACACCACAGAGGCGGTCTTCTGTATTTTAACACTAACGGTAAATAGAAAGAAATTACTGAGGATAACTGAGGACAAGATACGGGCTGGACATTTTATAATCTGTCGTTTCTGAGCGTCACGATATCCGCTGCCAAGGACTATACCATCACGTTCCCGCTTTTTCGCCTTGTTACATCGCTTTCTTGCGCTATCGCTTTCCTCTCCTCGTGCAATCTCTTTCTCGTCTTGTAATTTTACATTCCCATCTCCCGCTATCTCTTTCCCATCTCGTGCCATCAGTTTCTTGACTCTCGTTATCGCTTTCTCGTACTGTCGTGTTCCCTCTTTCTCGCCTTGCACTATCGCTTTCATCTCCTCGTGCTATCTCTTTCTCGTCTTGTGTCATCACTTTCTCGTCCCGCGTTATCACTTTCTCGTATTATCGCGTTCCCGCTTTCTCACCTTGCACTATAGATTTCTGGCTTTGTTCTATCGCTTTGTCGTCCCGCGTTATCGCGTTCTGGTCTCGTGTTATCGTTCTCTCGCGTTCTCGCAGCCGTAATTGAAGTCGAGAAAGCGATGTTTACTCTCGGCCACTATACCTTATGGCGTTGTATATTTTCCACAGGAACAGTGTTATTGTGTTCATTTGGTGACAGAAACAATTAGCATTATTGACTTTATCCATGTATTGAGAAGCGTTGACGTTGACGACACAGAAGGGTGTGCCAGATCACTGATGTTTGACCTTGAAACCATTGATGTCCAGAAATACATCCAGCTATAATTGCAATAGGTATAAATTATTTATAAGCGGTTCATTTTTTTATTTCTTTTTGCGAATCATTAACACGGTTGTGATTGAGCCTGTTATGGTTTGTCAGCCGCTGCTGTAGGCTGGTATTGTGCTGGATCGGCTCTCTTCCGGGGACTCAGTTTAGCGCTTAATACCATCCTAAAGATTACCTTTTGCCGACCCATAAATCGTCTCAGTACCACGGAAATATGTTGAATACTGAAAAAGGCGACCGATAAATCAGGAATCGAGAGAGATCTAGCTTGTCCCATGTGAATTCATATCAAGCACCGTCAACAATAACCGATACCATCAAAACCATTTTCATATTTTGTAATGCATTCTGAAACCGTAATTTCCTCGTATATTGTTCAGGATTACTAAGTACAGAGGAATATGAAATTCATCATTTGCAGGAAGTTAATCACTATTGTCATGCTTTCATTTGATGAGGAAATCTAAATGTATTTGGTGACATCCTATTTAGAGAGAGAGAGAGAGAGAGAGAGAGAGAGAGAGAGAGAGAGAGAGAGGGATTTGTGAGAGACCTGCAACATTTTTGTGAGAGGTTCAACCTAATTGTTTTATGTCATTCTTTGAAACCAGTATTTTGGGTAAAACCTGAAGCTAACTATTGGGGTCTTTTTAACAATTCTTTTACTCTAATTCTAAATTACTTGCAAGAAAGCCCACCAGAATCTCAAATGGGCGGTTCTTTATACTGATACAATTGCCGAAATGTAGATACTTATGTGCCATATACTTCCTTGAGGACGCATCACTTGCCTGATAACAGTGTTAGCATCTACACCAAAGTGTCGTTACTGCAATAAAGGAGTTGTCTATCCATAAACATAATGCAACGTTTAGCAGAGACAGCGGAGACATTTACAACTTGGGGATAAATTGCGAAATCAGTTTCCTTACCTGTCCTTGTAGAAACCTCTGAACCGTAAAGGCCCGGGTTAGAAAATTGATCTTCAGTAACCCATGCTTGTCGTAAGGGGCGACTAACGGGATCGGGTGGTCAGGCTCGCTGACTTGGTTGACACATGTCATCGGTTCCCAGTTGCGTGGATCGATGCTCATGCTGTTTATCACTGGATTGTCTGGTCCAGACTCGATTATTTACAGACCGCCACCATATAGCTGGAATATTGCTGTGTGCGGAGTCAAACTAAACTCACTCACTCACTAATATTTAACGCGAGTTGTTCCAGGGAACAAGGGTCCTAGGATTATCGGTTCAGTTCCCACAATGGATAGTACATCAGGGGCGGTGGTCTAGCCTAGTGGTTTAAGCGTTCGCTCGTCACACCGGAGACCCGCGTTCCATTCCTCAAATGGGTACAATGTGTGAAGCCCATTTCTGGTGTTCCCCTCCGTCCTGTCGCTGAGCATGGCCCAGAGAGCGTAAAACCATACTTACTCATTCGATAGTGTATCACTACCCGACAACGAGCGAACTCTCCGTAAACTTAAAACATAACTCAGAATCGTCCTTTTGATTAGGATGATGACCCATGGTAATTTCAGATGTATCGTGACAATCAAGTATAAAGTCTTACACACTGTAAAGGATGATTTGTAATTGGACTCGCACAGATATGTATGTTCTATTTCGTCATACTATGTTCAGTTGCAATAATTTATCATATAAGTGACTTATTTATTCCTGCAGAAATTGAAAATATGGCACGCATTGTTTCTTATATTTTAGAGTTTAAAATAACGCATGTGAAAGATTTTATTTTTTCAATTCTTTCGTTCTGGCAACATCGAAAATGAGTATCGGGTTTAATAGGTCCATAAAAAATGATTGGTAAATGATTAAGTAAAACTGTAATTATCCTGAATAAATCACAAAATTCATAAATGTAATTTATTGTCGTCATCAAATAAACAAAATAAAGAATTGATTCACTCTTATCTGTCAACAAGGAGTAAGACGGTTGATCGATGTGTCAAGCCACTAATACATGTTATCATAATTACTATCTATTTTCTGTAATTAATACATTTGTATGATTACAATTACTTTTTCTTCATACTTCTTCACCCTTACATGATTTTCGTGTTCAATATGGATTCCTAATTATATGGACGCAATTCTAATAGGGAGTGTATCAGCCGTTGGCTTCAAGCCTATATCCGTCTGTCGCTGGGATTTCAATGCGTTTTAAAAGGGTGGTCATTTTCCATTTGATAGAAACACCAGACCATCAAATATTTCCGAGTGCATCCTGTATGGCAGGATATGCTGACACGTT